TTTTTTTTTTTTTTTTTTTTTTTTTTTTATAAATTATAATAAATATATAATAAACCCTTAAAAACCCTAATAAACCCTAAGAAAAAATATTAATAGTTCGTATAAACCCTAATGAACCCTAAACCCTAATTAAACCCTAATAATAAACCCTAAACCCTAAACCCTAAACCCTAAACCCTAAACCGCCGCTGGCAGCGAGCGGGAAGAGGGCTGCGGCTGCGGCTGCTGCAGGAGGTGTGTATGGCGAATTGTTTGCTGCAAGGGTTTATAAATAAAACAAATAAATAATTATATAAAAATAAATAAAAAAATATTTTCTTGTGACATATTAAACAGACCCTTCTGCTGCAGTTGCTGCTGCAGTTGCTGCTGCTGCTGCAGTTGCTGCTGCTGCTGCTGCTGCTGCTGCTGCTGCTGCTGCTGCTGCTGTAGCTGCTGCTGCTCAGGTGTTGCTGCTACTCTTAACTGTTTTTTTCTTCCTCTCTTCTTCTGCTGCTATACACAATTTATACAACAATAAAGACCGACCCTCTAAACCCTAGCAGCTGCTCACCGCAGCTGCTTCACGCAGTAGCTGCTGCTGCTGCTGCTGCTGCTGCTGCTGCAGTTGCTGCTGCTGCAGTTGTTGCTGCATTTGCTGCTGCTGATGCAGTTGTTGCAGTTGCAGCAGTTACTCTAATTGCAGTTGCTGCTGCTGCAGTTGCAGTTGCAGTTGTTGCAGTTGCAGTTGCCTTAGTTGCTGCTGCAGTTGCTGCTGCTGCTGCTGCTGCTGCCTCGAGTTGTTGTTGAGGTGTACATGCAGCTCATTGTTATATAATATTTTTCTTATTTTTTTCTTCCTTTTTCTCTCTATAAGAAGTCTATATGAAGAGGAATGCATGCATGCTAATTACAATTAATAATTAATTGCCTTTTTCTTCTTTTTTTCTTCTTTTTTTTCTTCTTTTCTTCTTCTTCCTATGAGGTGTACATACACCTGGGCTGCAGCAAGCAACCCTTAAGTGTACGTACATATATACATAGGAGGCGTCGCTATACTCTTACGACTGCAACTGCTGCAGCTGCTGCTGCTGCTGCAGCTCTAGCTGCTGCTGCTGCTGCTGCTCCTGCTGCTCTTGCTGCAGTGGGGGTTAGCTAGTTATAACAGCTTGTCTTGGGCAGGGGGGCCCCTCCTTATTTGTTATTTTTCTTCTTTTCTTTTCCCTCTTCGTGGATCCTTGTCTTCGTTCTTTTTCCTCCTCGTTGCTGCTGCTGCTGCAGCCGCTGCCGCTGGTGCTGCTGCTGCTGCTGCTGCTGCTGCAGCTGGCAATCAGCTGGCCCGATGGAGCCCCTTCCCGACCCTAAACACGACCGCGTCGTCTCCTCTGTACAACCTCCTCCTGCTAAACCCCTCGCCTTTAATGTCCTCTATCCTCAGGGTCCTGATAGTCCCCCAGATTGGAGAGTAAGGGTTTAGGGTTTAGGGTTTAGGGTTTAGGGTTTAGGGTTTGGCACGTATCCGGCGGAGGGACCGCAACCATGACTTTGGTGGTGGATAGGAAGGACCCCATAACATCCACAAACATCCTGCAGGATTTAGGGTTTAGGGTTTATAGAGGTTTTATATATTGTTTAGGGTTTTAGGGTTTAGGGTTTAGGGTTTAGGGTTTATGTGTGTATATAGGAATTGCGGTCTCATCTCCAAAGGGAGGGTCGAGTATTTAAGGAAGATTGTTTGGAGATAATCAGAAAAGTTACAGAAATAACCAGCAATGAACCTAATCTACTTAGGCTTAGTGATCCTATTACAGGTAGGGTTTAGGGTTTAGGGTTTAGGGTTTAGGGTTTAGGGTTTAGGGTTTGGGGGGGAGATGGGGTGGAGATATCTGTCTGTGGGTGTGAGGGGGGGAGGTTGAGGGACACTAGACAAGGGCCTGATGGGTGGGTAGGGTTTAGGGTTTAGGGTTTAGGGTTCAGATGGAGCTGGTTGGTGAAGAATGCTTGTGTGGGGCAGAGAGACACTACCCAAGGGTTTAGGGTTTAGGGTTTAGGGTTTAGGGTTTGTGGTGTTTATTGTGCAGTTGTTGGGGACATCCACGGGCAATACTATGATTTATTAAAACTCCTTGATGTAGGAGGAGACCCAGACACAACCCAGTACGTTAATAATTAGGGTTTAGGGTTTAGGGTTTAGGGTTTAGATGGCGTCATTCTCCATTCATTAACTCAAAATATATTCCTGACATATTATTGCAGTATATTCATCATTTATTATGTCTTATTATCATTTATTATAATTTATTAGGGTTTCCTAGGTTTTATTAAAATTTCCTAGGGTTTAGGGTTTAGGGTTTAGGGTTTAGGGTTTAGGGTTTTTTTTTTTTCGAATTTTTTTTTGTTTTTTTTGGATTTTTGCAGGTATTTATTTTTGGGTGATTATGTAGATCGTGGTAGTTTTTCTGTAGAAGTATTATTATTATTATTTAGTATAAAATTGAATTATCCTTCGCGTATTTATTTATTAAGAGGGAATCATGAATGTAGACAAATGACTTCTTTCTTTAATTTTAGAGATGAATGTGAATGTAAATATGATATGGCTGTCTATTATGCATTCATGGAGGTACACAATAAACCCTAAACCCTAAACCCTAAACCCTAAACCCTAAACCCTTTCTAAACCCTAAACCCTTTTCTAAACCCTAAATCCTATTTTTTTTTTTTTTTTTTGTTGTAAACCCTTATTTATAGAGTTTATGGAGGATATCGATGGCTTGCTGATGTCTGTTAGACCCTGCTGCAGCTGCTGCTGCTGCTGTTGCTGTTGCTGCATGCATGCATGTTTGTTTGTTTGTTTGTTTGTGTTGTTTTGTGTTGTTGATGCTGCTGTCTGCAACTTAAACCTTCTTCCTCTACAACAACCTTATAAACCCTAAACCCTAAACCCTACCTCCAGGCATTCGACGCATTGCCCCTCGCAGCAGTTATCAATGGCAAATTCCTCGCGCTGCATGGAGGTCTCAGTCCGGAGCTAAAGGTGGTACGTAGATTAGGCTTTAGGGTTTAGGGTTTAGGGTTTTTATGATTTAAGGGTTATTTGTTTGATGGAGACAGCAACGATGTCGAGTATATCCTCTCCCTCCTTTTCCTTGATTTAGGGTTTAGGGTTTTTATGATTTTTAGGGTTTTTAGGGTTTTTAGGGTTTTTAGGGTTTTTATGATTTTTAGGGTTTTTAGGGTTTTTTAGGATTTTTAGGGTTTAGGGTTTAGGGTTTAGGGTTTAGGGTTTTGCGTGCAGCTAAGCCAAATAGGTGGCATAAATAGATTCCAGGAGCCTC